TTTCCTCCAAGACCAAATTCATGAGTCCTCATTGCCTGCCAGGCATGCCTGCCTCTCTCATCTGCAGAAGCTCAGCTCCTCTGACCAGGGATGTAAGTCGTTCCTGCACTATACTACATTCAGGTGACATAATTAGCATTCTTCCTGGGAATAACTTCTCCCAGCAGCATTTCAAGTTCATCACGGGCAGCTCAAAGCAATTAAGTGATCAAAATATCACATGGCAACCCATGAATATGTACCATTATCATGTATCAATTAAAAATGAAAACTGAATGGCAGACAGACTCAGAGTGTTGATCCTTTGGAATGAACTATGGAAATGCCCCACGCACTCAAACAGGTTTTCTATGGATGTTTTCTGCACTGCTTTATTTATTCATACACCATCTCTCTCCAAAAGAATCAAAGCCACTTAAAAACACAGGCAGAGTACAATGTTCTAACAAGTGAGCAAAGGTTGTCCTCAGATACATACATGCATCTGAACTGTTTTAAATGAAGCAATAAATGAGGACAAGGAAACATATTCATTGGGGAGGCAAAGACGAATGTACTGATTGGGAGAAGGAAAATTAAGGATAGGAAATACAAAACCCCTGTCCCAGGTGGATCCCTAAAAACTCAGTTGCAGAGGGAAACAGTCTATTGCAAGACTCGCAGTATCCTGGAGGTACTTAAAAATAAACAAAAAAAGAGAAGAAAACTGTTGTTCAGAAGAAATGAAACTATTTTTGTTCCTGAGCCTGGAAAGAAAGTTCTCCCACAGACTGAATAAATATTAGTTCCTTCCCCTCTGCCCTTCTGGTTTGGAATCCCAAACTCCTCCCCCTCTTCCAGCCAGAGGCCAACACTCCTGCCTCAGCAGGGCACATGCACAGAGTTGGGGCATTCATTTTTATTATTATTGCAGCAGAGCATGTGTACACCAAAGTGCATGAGTGTGCTGTTCAGAGATCTGCACAAATACTACGCAGCTGTGTGCCAGCACCCAGGCCAGGAGCAGCACTGCCAGCACACATGAATCCTGCCCACATTTCCCTCGGTGTAAACACTGTCCAGATTTCCAAACCCCTGGATCAGCTTCCCCTGCTTTGGATTTTCAGATAAATGGAAACACAAGCATTTTTTACTCAACCCTGTGTTTGCGAGTTGTCCACACTTTTGCTCGTAGTTGTAATGTGACCATTCACATTGCTGTTGAACACCCAGCCATGTGACTCTCGTGTCACCGAACAGGTCCACCCCCTTCTTGGTCAGGAAAATAATGAGGATTATGGGTTGACTCTTAATTAAGTGCTGAAGTTCAGGGGATGCCAGTATCCTTTTCCTAAAGTTTTAAATTAGACGCAAGTGCAGCCTCTGAAAACTGTCAGCCTGACAGCTGACTGGATTTTGAATGCTAAAGCTTATTTTTTACAACCAAAAATATTTCAGTCCTGTGGCCATGGGCGTAAAAAACAAATGGAAAGGCCATGAGAAAGATTTTTTTTCTTTGCCTTCATTCAAAACTTACATAGGAACATTTGAGAGAGACTTCACTATGTGTCAAGAACTGTACTGAACACTTTACACAGATTATATCATGCAATCCTGACAACAATCCTGTGAAACCGCGTCACTTGTATTACTCAGATTTTTCAAGCACTGTCTGTATAACCCAGTCTTTCATCCTCAGATTTCAGGCTACAAATCCCCTGTACCCCTCAATTCCCCAGAAAGCCCTGAGGACTAATCTCCCTCTTTTTCTGAGGGCTCATGGCCCTAATAAAAGACCAAAATCTGGAATAAGGCAGACCTATCCAAAATAAATTGCAAGTTTAGGGGCTGGGGATTTAGCTCAGTGGCATAAGCGCCTGGCTTGTAAACGGGCCGTCGTGAGTTCGATCCCTGGTACCGATAAAAAAAAAAAAAAAAATTGCAAGTTTACTGAAGAGTAAAATCATGAATGTCATAGTAATATGAAACTTTAACTCACTGATGAGGGAACCAGTAATTTGTTATACACAATTCTAAGGGGCATCCACAGAGCATGTGCGTAGGTACAGCTGAGAGCCCACCTCCTCCTGGGACCTCACCTGCCTCACTTCATTTCCATCTCAACAGACAGGAAAAGTAGGCATTGTGATCATTTTTCTAAGACTTATAGAACAGTAAATACCTCAGAGATCATGACAGGTACAAACCTATATAAAAACAGATGGAACCTAGTATTCACTTAAAGGACACCTGGTAAGCTTTTTGGTCTATGTTTAAGCCTATGTTTACATCTCTTGATGCCTGGTAATGGCCATTTTGCTACATCACATAGCAGAAAACACTCCATGCATGGGTTTGAGAGATGGAGAGAAGGAAACTGAATTCAGCTTTCGGTAAGAAACCCACTCTAGCAACAACTACTCTTGCAATAATGGCATTAATCCATCTACAAGAGCAGGATCCTCATGATGATCTGGCCATTCTTGGTACTGCTGCATGGGAACTTTGAGGAACACATCCAGACCACAGTATCACCATACGATTTCTCAGAGGCTCCCTTCTCCAGCTTCCCTACTCTACCCTTGGCCAAACAGATGCTACAACCTGTGTGCTTTCCCGGTACCCAAATGATGCCCTTCCTGTAAATCTGATATGTGGCATCCTTATTGATGTAAAGGATAACTGTAGGCATGTATAAACTTACCATGAGGATGTCCACTGCAGTGTTGTCTATCAGTGTGGAAAACAGACAAGCTAAAAGCCTAGCAATAGGGGACTGGATAAATAAATTCATTTGAGGGATTAGGGCCATATGATGCTAGGCAGCCATCCTAAATAGGGGAGGTGTGGGGATATCATAGTCAGCAAGCTCATTTCATTTGAGGATATTTGTTGAGTTATACAACTAAGAAGAAAAAAAATTTTTAAAGGAAAGATCAATATTAATAGTGTCTAGTTTTTATTTTCTTCTTTCTCCTTTTAGTATTTTCCAAATATACTAATATAGACTAGTATGCATTATGGGCAGAAGACATGTAGAGACAGATAAATAGATGCACAGATTGATAGAGACAGGTAAGCAAATAGGCACACTCGAACTCCCTAAAGCTAGATGCAGCACCACCAGGCCTACTGGAAACCACTTACATCTGCCAGATCAGTGATGTCCAAGAGGGAGATGAAGGGAAATGAACTCTCAAGGCTGAAGCCTCCCACAAAGACTCACTCAAAGTGACCCCACTCCACACCACCACAAAGCATACATGTCCAGTCTTGCCAACGAGGATAGCTCACAGGTAAAACCACCAACACAACGACAAGATGAACCCTACATATAAGGACCAGTGTCATCCTCTGCGCACAGTTTTAAGGGCTTTGCTCTCTGGCGCTGATCTGTCTCTTTTCTCTGGTCTTTCATTTGTTCATCTACAAAATAAATCAGTGGGGTGGGGCAAAGGCCCTGCTGGGTCCCCGTTCTCCGGGCGCTGATAGAAGTTTCCCTTCATTCTGGTTCCGTCACCTGTACCTGGCAGACGTCCTCCTGACACCTGAAGATGAGCTGGGATGCACCAGTCTGGGTCCCGGGAGGCATGAGACAAGCAGAGCAGGAGGCAGAGCCCACAATGAACAGCTGCCAAGGAGGATAGAGGGAGGGGTGCTATCCCACCACCCAGATGCCCCTTCCTCCGCGCAGGGAAGCTTGCATCAAGGTGCCTGGCAGAGATGGGGTAAGATGAGGTTTGTTTCCGCTGGGGAACCTGCCCTGCCCCACCCTCGCCGCAGAAGTCTCACCTCCCAGCCCCAGGGCGCATCTGTTTCCCTGAGGTTTCTCGTCAACATACTCAGCTCTTTGTCATCATGTTTGACTTTCGAGAACCACTTTCCAGCAGCTTTTGGGTTTTAAAACCTGGCCTTGAGCCCCGTTACCTCTTTAAACACCATTTCGCTCATCAATAAACTGAGGAGAGGGAAGCTAGGACAGGTAGGTAACGCTATAGTTCATCATTCGTCAAATTTACCGAATGCCAGTCAGACCTCCAAGGTCCCATCAGGAAACTGTGCTCATGTGGCTCCCAAGCGGGTAACTACAAGGCATCCCAAGGGGTCAGGATGCACTAAAGAGGGGCTCTACAGTAGTGGGAAAAAAAGGAAGCCTGGAATGGGATGGGATTTGCCCAGGGCCCCAAGGCAGGGTTTGGGCAGAGCAGGTGCTGGAAGTCAGGTCCCCTCCCTCCCTAAGCCACGCATCACTCCAGAGCAGGCTTGCGTCTGCCAGGGCTGAGCAAGGCGAATGGCACAGGGTGGGTGCGGGTGAAGCAGACAGGCCCTCGGATCACTGGGGCCCGAGTGCGGGGCAGGGAGGTTCAGGCAGGACTAGGCATAAGCAGCTAGGACGCTGGCATCCCAGAACTCACCTGCTACGAGGAACAGGAGGCCCTGCCATGCAGCGCCCGCCTGCCGCCCCCACCTTGCATTCCGCCCTTTGCTCACCGCCCCTGACACGGTGCCCCAGCTCAAGTGCCCGCCCTGCCTCTGTCCAACCCGTCTGGCTCTCCTTCCCAGATGGTGGTCCACCCGGCTCTGCTTGTGTCTGTACGTCTGTCCTCCGCTTCCGTCTGGCTGGACCGCAGGCCTGCTCTCCGCCCTGCCCCGCCTGCCTGCCGCCGTGTGGGTGTCGGGCAGGCGGTGCGCAGAGGGGCGCGGCTCGGCCCTCCCCCTTCCCCCGCGTCCCCCATCTCAGGAGTGACCTGGGCCTCGGCGCAAACGTGCCGAGTACCCCACGAGTGGCGCCTCCGCCTCCGCCGCCGCCGAGGGGGCCCCGCGAGGGTGACGGTGGCGTGGGAGGCGGCGCGGGGACGGCCGGCGGCCGGGCGGGGCTGCGGCAGGGCAGCGGGGCCGGGCCGAGTGCCGAGCCGCGGCGGCCGCCGCCTCCTGGGCCGGCCGGGATCGCGGGCGGCGGGTCGGCTCGGCTCGGCTCTGCCCGGCCCCGCGTCGCCCGCTCCGCCCCGCCCCTGCGCGCCCCCCGCGACGCCGAGCCCGAGCGCGGCGCGTCCGAGCGGGAACCGGCGCGGGAGCCGAAGCGGGAGCGGGAACGCGAGCTGGAGCCGAAGCTGGAGCCAGCACTGCGGCGCGCGGAGCGGAGCGCGGCAGCCAGGCCGAGTAAGGCGCGCGGGGCCGGGGGCGGCGCTGGGGAGGGGCGGGGAGGTCCTGGCCCGCTTCCCCCGGCTCTGCGGCGGCGCGGCGAACGCACACAGCCGGGGGCGCGCCGCGCGGAGCCTGGGCACGCGGGGTGGCGGATGCGCGGTCCGAGGCGGAGCGGAGCGGGACCCCGGCACTCCTGTGGGGACCCCGGCTGGGGAGGTCCCCCCTGCCCGAGTCTCCCCCCGGACCGGCAGACTTGGCGGGGGAGGGGACAGGACAGTCTCCCGGCCCGCGCCCTCAGTTTGGGGGGATCTCTGTCCAGAGGGAAACTAGGGTGAGAGAGGAAATGGACCGGGGTGGCGCAGAGTTTCAGCTTGAACCCTCCCGCCCCCGCCTTGAGCCAGGAAGTTAGACCCTCTGACGGGAGGGTCACCCGCGCCATGCCCCTGCTTGGCTGTCCACCCGCCTGTCTCAGCCCGCGGGTGGCAGAGGCAGCTCCCCCACCACACCTTCTTTCCTTTGGGGCAGACTTAGATGTGCGCTGTAAGAGAGCCCAAGGCTGATCTGGGGCTGGGCAGTGCCCGCCTCGCCCCTGGCTGCCTCTCTGGCGGCGCAGCCACTCCTCTGTCCTCCACGCACTTAGCGGCCTGGGGACTGTCTCACGGTGGGCACCAAGGTCTGCCTTCCTGAACCGCGCAGTACCACCGTGGGTGGGCAGGCCCAGGCCAGACGCGAAGGACAGGTGGAGAAGCAGGGGCTGCAAGATTTGGTCCTTGATCTCGATCCACGAAGCCTCACAAGCCACAGCCAAGAGGCAGCCTCTCTGGACTCTCCTCGAACATTCTGACTATTCCACTGGAACCAATGATTTCACCACCCTGTGGCAGAGTTTCCTCCTCTGAAAAGTAGACAGGATTCTGTTATGAGGAGGAGGTTTAAGGGCTTTGGAACCAAAAGGCAGGCTCGACTGACCTAGCTGCATGATTTTAGGCAAGACACTTAACCTCTCGGAGGCTGTTTCCCATCTGAAACAAAAGGAAGGTAAATTGAGAAGATTAAATAAAATTATTCTCCTGGGGTGCCTGGCACGCAGCCTGTGTTCAATTGCATTTGGCTACAGGTGTCATGAAGTGTCCAGCACCAGCAGATGCTGAGGCAAAGTGATTTGTCCTCAAGTGAGGAAATAGTGTTGTCCCACCCCCTCCAGAGGTCTTTGAATTCCTCAAGTCCTATTAATAACTCATTGGGAAGCAAAACTTACTCCCTAAAACTTACTTGCCTGCCCTTTCTCAGTCCTCCCTGGGGGCTCTCAGCCCTTGCCCAGGTCTCCCCTCCCTGTCCCACCCCACCCCCGGGTTAGAAAAGCCCCATCTGACCATAAAGTGTGACCTTCTCCTCTTTGCTTTGGCTGAGGTCTGCTGTCCCAGGCTGATGCACCCCACGTTCTGTTCCTGCTCTGTACAAGGGATTAGACACACCCTTCTGTCCTCCCAGTTTAAAAAGCACAAGACTGCTTTCCCTGGAGGTTGGTGTATCAGGCTGTCAGGCTGCCACCGATGTTGGTTCCGAAGGGCAGCAGGAAGCAACAGGGAGAGGAAGGCAGAGAGACCGCCAAGAGGGTGCCCTCCCTGACTCCTTGCTGACTGTGATGTGTGCTTCCAGGCAGCTAGTCACAAAGCACCCAGAAATGATAAGCCCCAGAATGGAAAGGGAGCTGGTGACTGACAGAGAGGTTAGAATTTAAGAGCTAGACAGTCCCCAGGTAGTGATGTTCCTGGTTTATGCAGTGGGGCCTCTGACCCGAAGCAAAGGGCAGATTTGGGGATCTTTGGGGTAGCATGGAGGGTGTAGATGGCTAGCTACACTGGTGGAAAGAAAGCAGAGATCTAGCTTGTGGGTACCCACATGGTTTCCTTGTCCCCTATGACTCGGTGCTCAGAATACAGGATGAGGGAGGATTCAGGCAAGGAAACGGGTCCACATGCTGCTGGGTGGGGACCTGCTAAGGTTGGCAGAATGGCTGCCTCCTGGGGGTTCCTACACAGAACCCCTCTCTCCCTTCCCTCCCCCACTCACTCACTAGGATGTCACATCCCTGTGTCTTCTATAGCCCTCACTCCTCGTCTTCCCAAAGGAGTTAATCAGAAACTAATTAGGTTGTGTCTACTGGTTCACACAGGATTTGGAACACAGCTGATAGGAAACATGATGGGGTACAGGCATGATCATCGGTCTTTGAAAAGCATCAGCCCTCCAAGGACTGTTAACCTGCACCCTCACCCTGGAACACACAGAACCCAGGGTGAGGGGCAAGAAGGCATAAGTCCAGTCCCAGCCTCCTAAGGAGACACTCCTAAGGAGGTCAGGGGGGCTCCAGGGCCTCTTGGCAAGTGAGCATATCATAGCACGGTAGCTGAGATCCCAGCTCTCCGCGCTGGATGCCTGAGTATACAGCATATGAGTCTGGGTGCGGGTCTACCTCTGAGGCCTCAGTACTGTCATGAAATGAGAACAAAGGTTATACACCTCCCAGATGTTGCGAGGATTGAAGAAATGACACGTAGATAGTATATAGCAGTGTCTACAGGCCCTGCTATGGCTGTGTATGAACAGGCAACAGACACACACACACAGTTTCTTAACATAAGCATCTTCATGTTAAGCTCTACAGTAGCACTCTGAGATAGGACAGGAGAGTCCACAGGAGTCCAGGATCCTGTAATTGTCCCCATATTTCAACTAGCTCATTGAGTCTTAGAAAGGTCCCTCTGCTACGTATAGAATACTTAAACGTCACTGTGACTCATCAGAATTTTGTGTGAGTTTGTAAAACTGGTAATTAGCACATCATAATTTAGATGACATGTAATTCATTGTTGAGATGGCTCCTCTGTGGGTCTCTTCAATCATTTTTATGTCTGGGAACTGGAAAAGTATGTTCATTGTCCACAGGCTATAGAATTTTTAGAGACACCTTCATTTTTTTCTTCTTCAAACAATAATCAAACTGATTTAACCAGCTGATTGATTTAAAAGACAAATATCTCATTCATTACCTACTCTGTTCTCTCCATTTTTCTTCATAGCATTTCTCACCCCAACGTCTATGTGTCTTATTCAGTCGTTCGTCATCTTCCCTCCCCAATATCATGTGACATCCACGAAATAGAGACCTTTGACTTTTTTGTTCCCTGTAGTCTCTCCAGAGCATAGACCAGTACTCAGCATCAGATGCTTTGCAAATTTATGGTGTCTTACAAACATAAAGTCTATCATTATTATTATTATTGTTGTTGTTGTTGTTGTTGTTGTCAGACATAGATTGATTGGAAACAAAACATGATAGTTCATGGAAAAAAATCATTCCCTCAAATATTTCACATATAAGACTTGCTTAAGCCAAGCACGGCGGCACATACCTGTAATCTTAGCATTCAGGAGGCTGAGGCAGGAGGACTGCAAGTTCAAGGCCTCCTTGAACTGCATGGTGAGTTCAAGGCCAACCTGGGCCACGTATTGACACCCTGTCTCACATACAAAAATAAAAGACTTGCACAAACATCAGGGAGAATGTTTGAAAGTTAAAAAGTGTTGAGCATTTTTCTAATATTTCAATAAGGCTTCTTATTAATAAATTTAAAGACAAATTAACTTTTAAAGATATTTTTAATAACATGTCATGTTTAAAAGGCAATTAAATTGGCTTTAAATTTTTTGGTGAGTTAACTATCACTGACCTATTTACTTGATTGCTTTTTATTCTGTTAGCACCAAGGTTTTTATCCAAATCTTCACTTTAATTATCTTTCATTTTATAAAAGTATTACATGTTCAGGTAGAAAATTTAGAATATTGTAAAAATATAAAGAACATAAAAATCCTTCTTAATCCCACCTCTGCCCAGAGAGTACAATGACTGTGAACATTGTATTCTGTTTCTTTTCTGATCTTTTACTGTGTGTAAATCTATTCTCTAGGGCTTTTTCTTCTATAAAATAAGAATCAAGCTGTATGCATAGTTCTATAACTTGTTTCTTTTTAAAGTTAAGGGTTTTCTTTTTCCTTTTAACATTATACTAAAAGTCTTTGTGTTGCTAGAATTATTGAAAAACAGGATTTCGTGGCCACATAATATTCCAATAGAGTGGTTCCAATTAGTGCCCTAATTTGCTCAGTCTGTGCCCTCTTATTGATGTCAACATTGAGGTCACCTCTTCTATTGCATTGCTGTAAATAATGCTTGCTTGTGTCTCTTTTAGGGTGTTGAGGCCTGAGTCAGGCTTCTCTTTACATTTGGTCAATTTATTTGCGAGCTTGTAAATGGACTGGCATATGCAGGTAGATGGGAAATGAACCTCCCTTGTGGTGGGAAGGGATGGCCGTTGGTTCTATAGAGGGCCACTCTGGGCAAATTAAGACAACGTGGGGACCCAGTAACCTCCAAGCATGCCTTAACCGATCCGGTAAAACACACCTGTGGCCAGATGTTGCATGGAGACAGAAGTCCTCCTTGCTGCAGAGCTCTCCGACCCCAGATCTAATGTGAGGACCAGGCTGCCTGTTGGTGAACCTCAGGGCCTCCTGCCCACCTCTTTGCATCTGTTTTCACTTCTTGTTTTCTTTCCTCTACTCCTGGACTCATTCATCCCTCCATTCAGCCAAGGACAAACATTGTGTGACTTATTTTCAGCACTTGCCAAAGAATGTTCTTCTCCACTGGAGAAGTCCCCAGCTGGATCCCAGCCTCACATAAAGAGCCTCCTGGGACAAGAGAAAGGATTTTTCCCTGCTTAGGGACCTGACCTGCATCACCATGAGTTAGTGCCTACTTGGATAGGGTGGATACAGTGCATCTGACCCAAGTCCCTGGAATTTCTGGCTTTCTTCTGGCTCTGGGTCATCGTGTGCACACACCCAGGAACCCCTGTGAGATGAAATTATTTGTACCCACAATAGTCTCTGAGCACTTCCTGTGTTCCCGGTACTGTGCTAGGTGCCAGGGACATGAAAGTCATCCAGGCCACTAACTACCACCTCTCCAGTCTCCATCATCTATCAGTCACTCAAGCAAACACAGATCATCCTCACCTCCTGTCATTTCTCACCTGCCTTGAACACATTTGTCCTCCAAACCCACCTAACACGTTCCTGCCTGGGGCCTTTTCCCTGTCTACCCCTTCCCCCCAGCATCCCCCTGCTCCTGGGTGTCTGCCCAGCTGGCTGTCCTCCTCTGGCCTCGGCTTACCTGTCACCCTCTTTGCAGCCACTGAGACTAAATATGCAGTGTCACCTGCACAGCTGCCTCTGGTTCCTCCTTGCTGTCTGCAACCATGTCTCTGCCTCTCCCAGCAAGGCTCCACAAGCACATCACTGTACAGTGCCAAAACCTGATACATAGGAACTTTGAGTGAACACTAGAACCAGTGAAGGTGGCCTCCTTGCCGCAGTCACAGCTGGCTTCATTCAGCACCTCACGCCCAGTCTGCCATGGTCAGCTGGTACGGCTCCACCCTGAGCCCACCTACACCTTCCCAAGAGGATAAGAGCTGACCATGTCACTTCCTTCCAGAGTCCTCCTAGGAGCCCTCTTGGGGCAGGTAGCTCACTACCTCTGCTTTCCCCTTTAATTCTTCTGAGTCTCTGTTGTCATGTTTAAGTGGAGATTTGTTTCGAGCATCCCATAAGTTGACATCAATTGAGCAGGGGTAGCATTTACCACACATCACCCAGCCTGCTTCAAAAGCCCAGCCACACCCACAGCCCTTCCCTGTCCTCCATGTGAAACTGGTGGTTCCTCCTTGGTCTGGCCACACAGGTCTGCACTGGAGGCTCCCAGGCACTGTGCCTCAGGAGAACCAGGTGATGTCCCTTAACATGCTTCCTCTGTGCAGATCCAAGTGTCACCATGAACCCAGAGTAGAGATATTCCAGGTGCAGGGATGTGAAGGGGAGTACAAATGACGTGAACCTGCCACACACCATTCAGCCACTTCAGAGCCTGGAGTGCCGCCCGCCCACCCTGTGTTCCCAGCCAGACAATCCAGTTGGAGATGAGTCACCGTCAGGAACAAGCTTCGGGTGCTGGGCTCAGAGAGAGGCAGGCAGGGGAACAGTGACCTCGGGTGTGTGCCCATGCTCAGCCCAGTGGCAGAATAGACCCGGCTTCCCACTCCAGCCATCCCCAGGCTCATCCCAGTGTGCCCACCTGTCCACTGTCCTCACCACTCAGTCTTCATCACAGCTCTGGTCACAGGGAGGGAACCCTGGGTAGACACTTGCTTACGTGGATACCCATATCCAGCTCCTTTGCCTCAGAGACTTCACCAAGTTCCACTTAAGCAACAGGTCTGATGCCACCAACGAATGGCTTTTCTGTGGTCATGATGAAATGCTCAAATAGGGGAGGCAGGTGAGGAAGAAGTAGCTAGTGAAGTCGAGCATCTAGTTTCTGCTTCTGGATCCAGAAAGCCTGTTCTGTTTTCCAAGGATTTTGTGGTACACATTATGGGCAATTGGTAAACAAATCAGTGCACACGAGCTGGGTTGGGTTGCTGGGAGACTGCAGCCAGAGGGTGTGTGTAAAGTGCTGATTGGGTTTCAGGATTCAGGGAATGGTAGCCCTGGCTGACACAGGCATTGTTACCTAGGGAGATGTTAGGGAGAATCTCAGATCTCTTCAAGGGCTTCTTTATCAACAAGTTAACATCATTCAAAGGCAGCCTTAGCACATCTTGTGCACTAGCATCAGGCCGTGGTTGGCTTATTCCATGTTTCCATGTATTTCTGTAAGTCCTCTCACTGCCCAGCCCAGAGCCAATTTACACAGCCACACTGACCCTCTGTGCCCATGAAGAGCTGCTTGTCTAGAATAATTTAGGACAGAGTTAGCCGGGAAGGATATGCATGTGTTGCAGAATCCCAGCCATTGTGACCATTCTGTCTCCATTAGTCGAGGAGAATCTTACAAAGAAATCTCTTGAGCTAGCTGTTCACAGCTACAAAGGGGCTTGCCAGGTAGAGGAGGAAGAAATGGCAGGCAGGGGGAGGGAAGAGAAACCTGGAAGAAGGAGGCACTCAGGAAGTGAGCTAGGACACCAGGGCAGCAATCTCTGTGCGATATCTGTCAGTAACTGAGGGGCACCAGGGCTGGTAGAATCCCTCCCCATAACTCTCCACCCCTTCACTGTGACCTTGGGCAGGGCATCACCCTGAGCCTCAGTGTTTTCATGTGGAAAATGAAAATGACATTTCCCATCCCAGAGAGTCTGCAATAACACATCGGCCACATAACCTGACACATGCAAGTGTTTGGTTAGAGTGAGCACTGTTCAAAGGCCCAAGTGTCCAGGAAGCCTCCACATATGTGAATGTCTGCTCCTTGCCAGTCTCCTGAGCCACTTAGGAACTTACACATTGTCCTCCAGACTCCCACACTGATCATTGCAAACCATACATGTTAGGACTCCCCTGTCCTAGAAGACCCCCCCATCTCCCCACACCCTCAGAAGCCTCAACCTTCATCTCAAAGTCACAGAGCCCAGTGAGAAGTGAAGGTGGCCCATGGGCTCCCTAGCAGAGGCAGCGCCCTGAGGATGATGTTTCCATGGCATCAGATGCCACCACAGGCAGGGGTAGAGGAGGTGCAATCAGCACGCATTTATTAAGCACCTGTAGTACTGGTTCAGCACTGAAGTAGGAAGGACTCTAGGGCGGGCTATGGAGGCTGTGATGGGAAACTGGCACATTTCTCTGAGGACACTGGGAAGCTATGGAAGGATTTTAGCAAGGCTAGCAACATGATCCATTTTGACCTTAAGACAAATCTGTGCAAGTAGCAAGAGGGATGAATTGTCTGCCCATGTATAGCCCTGTCCCTGGACATACAAATATGTATACACACACACCTAACCAGGGTACACTCAAGCATACCCACCAATGGGAACAGAGATACAGTGCCCACGTGTATTTTTAGAAAATGAGGATCACAGGCCTCAAGATTGCTCTTGAATTTTCTGGTGTGAAATCACAGTTCTCCAGGCAGCCATCCCCAGCAAGCTGGAGGGACCACCTCCCACCCACACTTCCCCAGGTCAGAGCTTGCCCCTTGGTTTCCATGGAGACTGAGAGTGGGTGTCAGGCCAGCCTGGGGTTCACAGTGGAAAGGCTGAGCAGTGTCAGGAGGGGGCTGTAAGGAGCTGCCCAGAGAGGTATTTCAGGTCAGTGGCATCCCCTCTGGCCCCTGACAGTAGAGTGGACAGTGTGGTGAAGGGGCTTTCCACCCAGACCCCTGCTCTTATTCCCACTGTACCTGGTGGGACCTGAGGCTCAGAGGGGTGAAATTCTTTGTCCAGATTCACAGCTGAGTTGACATTAGCACCAGGGATCAGACTTCAGAACAAGACTCTCTAAAGAGAAGTTTCTGGTTAAATAGAACCAACTCTGTGACACAATGTGTTTGGTTCATGAGCTCCATCAAAACATGGAACCCACTCGGGGGGAAAACAGATAATAAAAAAGGCTCTTCAGGGGAGCAAGGGTGAAACCTCTGGACCTGACTCTTCAGGAAAAGTTCTGTCCACAATGATTTCACTCCAGGATCTAGAGGGCCCAGGCTGCTTCCTGCTGGCTTCCCTTACAAGTGCCCCCTGGGCCCAGGGTCCATAGTCTTTTCTCAGTCAGCCTCCAAACCTGCAGCCAGGTAGCATCACTCCCTAGGAAATAACACATTCTCCCTCCTGTTTGCAAAGCTTCATGTCACTTGAGGACACACCAAGAAAGACTGAGCCTGTTCTGATCTTTAGCAGCATGGGAGGCTGGGTGATTTCTTGAAAATGTTCCCTCCACTGCAAATGGCTGCTGAAGTGGCTGGGTACTTACTGTCCTAGACATGCAGATGTCACACAGTCCAAGCAGGGGGAGAAGAGGGGAGAAAGAGGCATTTTCTTTCCATACTCCAGTATTTCTCAATCAGTAATTTAAAATATCAGGTATCTTCTAAAGCGTGTGCTGGATGACGGTACGGGCTTTGGAATCAAACAGACTCGGGCTGTAGTCTCAGCCTATAGATGGAAGTTGTGTGACCTTTGACAAGCTGCACGTCCTCTCTGAGCCTCAACTTCCTTATTTATAAAAGTGAAGCCAGGCATGGTGATACACATCTGTAATCCCAGCGCTCTGGGAGACTGAGGCGATTTAGCAATTTAGTAAGATCCTCTCTCAAAATTAAACACTTAGAAAAGGGCTAGGGATGTAGCTCAGTGTGAAGGCCCTGGGTTCAGTCCCTTTTCACACACACACACACACACACACACACACACACACTCGAAGAGGAAAAGAGCAACTTCCTCTTAAAGTTGTTGAGTAGTAATATTGTTTGACCCAGTAGTAATATTGTTAGCCCCCTTCCCACTCCAGCTCTGTTTTCTCACCACGAAAGGACATTGTGCTGATCTTAAAGGTTCCGCTACGCCTGACAAATCATAAGCTACTCAGCCTGGCCTGGGCCCTTGAACGTGTCTAAAGTAGTAGGATCTCACAGGCCCATGAGGTAGGAGAGCCCCATGGAATGCCTGGTTCCCACTCCAGGGCACCCAAAGAGATGGCCCCATCCCTCACCACCACTGGGACCCCAGGACTCACTGACCCCAGCCGTGCACCTATAGCACCCATACTCTGTAGCCTAGAGCTCCCAGGTGGCCTATTTGCTATGAAAGTCACTGTCCTTTGGTGGCTCAAGGGATAGGTATGCCCATTCTGCAGGACTGGTGGGTGTGGTGTGGGCGCCCCATCACCTGCCTGTTTGTGTCTCCACAGGTGAGTGGAGGGGCCTTCCCGGCGAGAAGTCAGAGCTGTGCCCGTGGGCAGGCTGGCTCCGCTCTTCTGCTCCAAGGATTACATGTCCTTCAAACGCCCTTGCCCCTGTAAGTGCCCCTGCACCCTCCTACCACTGAGGACCAGCCATGGCAGAACTGGGCGTTGGGGTTGTAGAGACCAGCTGTAGGATATTTGACCAAGGAACTGCAGGGTCTGGCTGGGAGCATGGTGGGTGGAGGAAACCTGAGCTCTCTGAAAACTGAAAATCCTACTTTGACCATTCCTTAGTATCATTGCTTTCAAAAATGTCTAGGGCATATTAATGGGAATACACACGCACGCATGCACGCGCGCACACACACACACACGACCAAATAAGCATGGGAAAGGCTGGATGGGCCTCATTCATTGAGAAAGTTTTTCTACCACAGACTTCTCAGAGTCTTTAATGCCATGATGTGTGTTACAAGACTCCCCAGAGAAACAGAAAACCTGCTGCTCTTCTCAAACTTACGTGCCCACAGGGATGTTCTACTCACATGGGATTCCACAGGAAATATTCCCTGGAACTGACTGTCCTGAGATCTGTCCTAGAGCCTCCTTTGGAAAACCCCTCCACTAAGGAAGCCATTAGATGATTTTGCCCTGTTCAAATCTTCTTATGACTCCAGCCAGGTGTAGCATGGAGACAGGAGAGCAGCCCTTCCCAAGTCCCCAACAGCTCCACCTCTGCCACCTTCAGCTGCCTTAGCTTCTGTGGCAGCCACTGCTCTCTCCCATTACATCTCCTGATCCCCTAACTCTACAGCACCCCTTACTGTTCAGGGAGATATGTATAGCTCTCCGTCCCTTCTCCTTGGTAAGTCAGGACTGTGCATGTGTGTGTATGAGCGATCAGGGGCACTCCTGCAATCACTCTGGATAACGCCTTGTTTGCCTTGCTAACCTATGCTCAGATTTCCACCACTGATTACCTGTCATGCCTCTTGGGTGGGGACAGCTCTTCCAAATAATCAAAGCCCTGGTTGTTAAATCTCCAGACACCAGGAGATTGGTGCTGGGGGGAAGGGGAATGTTCCGTGTGGATAAACTCTCATGCTGGGAGAGTGGGAGAGGGCCTGGCTGTGGGGTTTACTGTCCGGAGTGTGTCAGAGTATGGGGGAGTCAGCCTGTAATCACAGCACTCAAGAGACCAAGGCAAGAATATCAGAAGTTCGGAGCCAACAAGGGCTACACAGTGAGTTCGAGGCCAAACTGGACTACATAACATGAGCCTGTAGGAGTTGGTGGCGCTTGTCTACTGCAAATACCCAAGGGTATAGATTAAGAACTGATAAAATGATTTCTGATGGATGGTACAAGCTCAACAACTTATTGCTATCATCACTGTTACTGTGGCACAGCCAGGAAATGAAAAGCCCAAGTCCCAAGCTAGGGGAGAAGACCACTGCTCAGGGGGGTTCCTGCCCCACACAGAGCTGCCATGATCACTTCCTTGCTCCTTCCTGCTGGTGAGACAAGAACAGTAGGAGTAGAGAAATCTGAGAAAGGTCAAGACTGCGAGTGCTGAGTGTGGAAGGCTTTCTAGAATTTTCCTGGGTTGACCTCTAGCCCTTGGGAGCCTGGTCTCTCTGTACTAATAGATGCCACTGTTCTGACTTACCCCTATCTGAACCCCCTCTTCAGATCTTTTCTGGAAATCACTCACTTGTTAACCAGCTCTGTTCTTGCTCGCCTATAGAGATGAACTTCTAGAAAGCAGAGACTGTGCCTGCCTTGTTTCCAGGATCATGCTCAGGGCCTGGCCTGGGGTGGTTGCTCAGTAGATCACTGAATGAGCAGGTGAATGAGGAGACAATGCAGGCGCCTCCCCAGCTTGCAGCCCAAAGGCCCACACATGGGTGCTGGTAGGGATACAGGGCTGTAGATGCTCTGGACCCCTGGAAACGCCAGACAGAAGTGCTCAGGAAGGAGACCTGGAAGTTCAAGTCAGGGCCACACTTCACCAATTTCTTGCCAGACCTGGAAACCATGGGGAGCTGCCCTCACTCTCCTTGCTCACAGAGTGCTCTTGCCAGGTCCTGTGAAAACACTGAAGCCCATAAAAACTGCAAAATTTAGGATAGCAACCAGTTTCTTCCTGGTTGAGTTTCTATGCTCCCAACTCTTGCCATTTTAAAAGGGTAGCTGGACAGGTCCCCAGAAGGAAAAATAAACCAAGAAATCCCCCAAGAAAGACCTCATTTGTAGGAGAGAGAGCTCTCAAGGTCCAGAGAAAGTAAACAGGTCACTTCTACCAGATGCAGTGGAGAGAGTTGCACAGTGAGAAGGGCCAACCCCGTAGCAAGCATAGATCATCCGGCTCCTGCAAACTCTGGGAGGAGTGGCACAGAGATTACCAAGCCAGGCTGGCCCGGCATCCCCATACTCTAACCCCATCTCACTTCCCGGATTCCAGCTCCTCTGTGCACCTCTCTTGCCCCCACTGGGCCGTGAGAAGCTGAGGCAGAAGGATGAGACAAGAATAAGAACAAGGATGAAGAGAGGCTTTGGGGCTGAGTGGCTGCAGGAAAGGATCTGTGTATCTGCCTGCCACTGCCAGGTCTCTGAGCTGTTTTCCAGTCCTCAGAGGAACTGCCCCACGCCCTGAGCAAAAAGAAGGCTATTATTGGTTCTTCAGAACAAATGGAGGTGGGGGAATCTTCTCCTTCAGGCCCCAGCAAGGCTGGGTAGCACAGGGGCCCCTAAGGACTTAAGCTTAAGCTCCAAGAACTGATGCTTCACAGTCTCTTCTTTATTACCTAGTAGATGGCAGCTCCATAGGGCTCCCCAAGAGGCAGGGGCAGCCTGCTTCCCTCCTGCTTCTGAGGACAGATCTCCAAAAGGATGGGCCGTGAGGTCTCAGGGGAGACTTAGCAAAGCAAAATGGAAAAGAAGTAGTATTCTGCAATCATGAAGTCAAGTTTAATTTGTCTCCACCAGGCTTCTGGTGGCTTCCCACAGGCTGGCAAAACTCACATCCTGGCAGGGTCCCTCAGTGCCCTGACTCTTCCTTGGAGTTGCCGTAATACAGTAAAGCAGTGCTGGGGTTAAGTGCAGCCTGGGACTGACACTTTCCGGCTGTCTGATCTGGAGAAACTAACCTCCAGAGACCTGCATTTACTCATATGTAAAATGGATGCAGTAATGCTACCCTGGTGGGTTGATGCTCAGATCTGAGATGCCAGGGGAAAGAGTCTAGCCCAGTGTGAGGCTCTGAGAAGAGCCTCAAGAAAATTGACGGGCTTTTCTTCTGCCACCTTTTCTTTATACATCTTATTACCACCAAGATCTTTGGTAATGGAGAAGAAAAACAGAGACGCGAGTTTGGAGGTTGGACCATGTGTTCGTTTTTCATCATTGTGACAAAAATCCCTGTGATAATCAGGAGGAAAGGTTTATTTTGACTTACGGTGTCAGAGGGATCAGTTTGTAGTCATGTGGCACCAATGTTTAGGGCCTCTGATGAGAGCATGCGGTATGGGAGTCCCATAGTGAAAGAAAAGAAGCATCTGGAGTCCCAGTGTCCCCCTCAAGTGCATGCTTTCAGTGACCTCATCTCCTAAAATTTCCACCACTTCCCATTGGTGCCCGATGTCAGAGACCAAGCCTTCAACACATGGGCCTTTCAAGATCCAAACTGTAATAAGCCAGATGCTGTTGTTTCCTTTTATGCTCTTTGTGACAGTTGACCTGCACAGAGACTGAACTGTCAACAAGACTTGAGGGCAAGGAGGGGAAATGATGGGACACACTTCACAATTCACCACTTCTGTACCCAGAGCAGACATTACTAATCAGTTACAGTAATGTTTCCCCCACTGAATCTGAATGCAACCTCAGACTCTTCCCAAGTATCATCAAACTCTTGTCCATACACTGTTGAGGTTGGACTTTGGAGTGGACAAGGGAATGAATGGAATGAATTCAGCTGGTCATTTCTCCCAGAGCCTCAGCCTCCTCATTTATAAAATGTGAGTTGATAAAAATACCACACGCACTTCTTAGGATTTCTGTGAGCATTAAAATGAGATATCACTGGTGAGGGGATCAGTTCTTTATGTGGCCTTCTTGCTTCCTCAAAGTCCTGCAAGGAACAGTCAGTGTGCCCATTCTGCACACAAAGAAACTAAAGTTTGGGGAAATGAAGCAATTAATCGGGGATACAGTAGAGTCAGAACATCACCCTGAGTAAGTCAGTCCAGAGCTTGATTTTAGCTGAAGTACAGCTGGACAAAAACACAAGGGTGAATCCCAACCTATTCCTCCACCCCCAGGGCCCAAGTAGAGAGTCCACTGTGCAGCAGGACCTCTTGGCCTTTAGAAGCCCCAGCTCTCACCGGGCGATGTAGTCAGAGATGATGATAATAAGCAAATGAGTATCTCAAATGTCTAGTGGTGAGACGAGCTGTGAAGACAAAGCAGGGTGAGGTGGTGGGCAGGGATGCAGGCTCTAAGAAGGTGGTCTGGGGGTTACTGGAGGGGAGGGAGGGAACCATGTAGGTGTCTAATGGAAGAGGATTACAGGCAGACGGACTCAAAAGTGGAGGCAGGCTTTGCCTGTTTCAACAACAGGAAATCCAGAGTGCCTGAAGAGGAGGAAAGGAACACACCAGGGGTCAACAGGTCAGATGACAGAGCCCTTTGAGGTCATGGGAGGCCTTGGCTTTTGTGTCTAAGTAGTCACTGGAGAGTTTTGAGCTGGGAAGAGGCATGATCATCCTGAGAGGGCGATCAAGGGGAAGGCGAGGAAGCCAGTTAGGAAGCTAGGACAGTGGTCCGGGTGGTAGTGATGATGCCGGGGACCAGGAGATTAATAATGGAGGTGGCAAGATGGAGGCTGGATTTGCAGACTAACTGGACTTGGAGTAAATAGGCAGAAGAGGAATTAATATTCACAGCATTTGGACCTGACCATGTAGGGCAGCAGAACTGGCATTTGCTGAGCTGAGGGAGGTTATGGGCAGATTTGGTGGGGACTGAGTCCAGGCTGAAGGTTTCGATGTGTTATGTCTGAGATGCTGTGTAAACATCAGAGCAGAGAGGCAGGCAGGGAGCTAGACATAGA